TCCATTTACTCTGCAGCGCTGATGGTAAATGCCGTAGCCTGGCAAGCCAGACTAAATAAATATATTGTTTATTCTGGCAATGCTCCATTGTCCTTTAAATGATCTCCACATGCTACTGGACAATGAACAACGTGACACACTTGCCACTACAGATGTCAGTAAACGAGGCAGTCAGTTGTTGAAGGTGAAAATAGTACATATTTTTTTCTAAATAAAGGACTTAAATACATCTACCTGCTCCTGATTCTAATAAAACCCAAGTCCAAATAGTCCAACCTTAATTGAAAAGCCATCTTGTTTCACTCTGTCGCATCATCCCGTCCGCCACACAGAGGGCCCTGACAGTTTTAGGCAGAATATTTAAATTATAACTAAGATGCACTAAAGTGCCATATTATTGACTACACATGTCTACAGCACAATTAGACACTCGTTTATACAATTTATCAACAAATAAAGCTGATTTGGAGGCGAGTGTCTTGCCCAAGTGTCTTGCCCAAGGACCCAACAGCAGCATTTTCTGGTGGGAGCCAAGATCGAACTTGCAGCCTTCCAATTACTGGACAACCCACTCTACCTCCTGACCTACTGCTGTCCCACAACACAAGCCTGAAGTAGCTCTGCCACGTGGTGGAGTTGCTAATGCTAACAGTTAGCTTCTGCTAACAGAGACGTTCTCTGCTGTTTCACGGATGCTAAACCAACAACAGCCTTCCCTGTCACAAACTAAAATGGGTGAATCCGTGCTAGCGAATTTTCAATGTAACATGCTAATGTTTATTCTGATACAATGTTTCCTCATCTATTTTCTAACAGCAGCTAATGCGTGTTAAATTCAGAGAGACGGATCGTATTTCAACAAGTAAATAAAGTTTTCTCAGTGAACTTGGCCTTCATAGGCTGTGTTGTGGAGGGAACGCTGAACGTTAGAAGTGTGCATTCCATTGATTATTGATTGTAACAAATGGTTTCAAACTGTTCAATGTGAACAGATGTCAAATTTAAGCATCAGTCACGTGGGAGGTGAAAAAATCTGTAATATTGTCTCAATAATTGGTCAAAAATGTTCCACACAGAAACTGAAGACAAGCGTCTCGATTTTAATCATCTGATTCATGTTTCAGATATTTTATCTGCACAGAGGTAGCTTTAGTTTTCCGGACATTTTCTAGTGTCAACAAATTGAAACTATGAATAATTTACGTCATGAAAACAAAAACACTTGGATTATAACCAATCCAGAGCTGAAGATGTTTAACATGTTTTTCTTAGCAATTAGATTATGTTTAATACAAAAAAGCCCAGAGCAACTTGGAAAAGATACTATTTTTTATTGTTTTATTTGTTGTCAAACTAAACACGCTGTGAGGAGCTCAAAGTTTCCATATGTGATACCATCTAGCTGAGTTAACAGTAGCCTACTGATGAGCTCACCTAGCATTTTTCAAAATAAAAGCTGTGTCAGATCAAATTTCTGATGAGGAGGAAACAAGTAGGAAGTAAATATTTGCTTGTTAACAACAAGTGTCATCTTTCCTGAAGAAAACTTTGTAAATGTGCGATGTCAAGTACTGTATTTTTCACTTTTAATGTGAGAACAAGTGACAGCTGGACAGCAAATGTTGAAAACGGCTTCATTTAAAAATGTTTTGAGCTATAATCGGTTAAAAAAAGATTTCGTATTCCTTTGAAAATCGTGTATCTATGCAAGTCATTTCTGGTTACAGTTTCTGTTGTAGTTTGAAAGATCTTGAACAGGTTTTTATTAATTTCAATATGTTTCACCAAATTGAAGCCCTGCCCTCACGATGAACATGTTTAAACTTCCTTCATGTTATTAATGATACAATCTTCTGCTGCATCATCCAAGAAGTGTGACAGTGTGAAACGACACCTGGTAGCAGGCTGCAGGTTTTTACTGCCTTCAAAATGGGAGAAAAATCAATCTGGCCTCGATAACGGTGCTTTTAGCTCCACGTACAGCAGGAAACAACGCGTCCATCTGTCGGACAATAAAGCATCTCTTCCTCGTCAGTAGGGAGTTACTTTAAATTAGCATCATGTTTACTTCCTCTGGCGGATTCGTGCTTCTGACCGCCATAACATCAGATTTAACTTTGGTGTCAAGCAGAAACCCCCCACCCCATCAGGTGAAAATCCTCCATGACTTCCTGCCTTGTTAGAGATACCAGAGCACAGCACATTTGGGGCTGATTTAAACGTCTGTGACACGGATCCACGGCGGTCTCCTGTCACACTAATGCGAGCGGAGCCGTTTGGAGAGTGGGGGGTCATATCTGTGATTTTTATTATAAAAACACACCAAGAAAGGCCTAATGGAGCTGTCGCCTCCACACTCCTCATCCTAATGGACTCAAAATGATGCTGAATATGAAGAGACTCGTGTGAAACAGCAGCCTGGCAGAGGCAGTTTTCTCTTAGGAGGAAGCAGCCATAAAGCTGCTTTTTAAGGCATTTTACGCTCCGGTTGCAGCTTTCAGCTTTGTCTTTTCCAATGACTCAAGTATATCTCTATTTTCTGCTCCTCTATAGGGAAAGAGTCGGGGTGTTTTCAACTCCTTAGACGTGGATTTCTCTAAAGATGATGTGTGAAAAATGTTTTTAGTTTTTCTTAACAAAATAGAACATTTATTGTGATTAAAACCATAAATCTAAGCAAACATGTAAAAAAAAGGCGAAATATTTTAGGGTTTAGGACTATAAAATGAAAAGATTGTCACTTTAACACTTAAAACTGTATGCATGAGTTGGGTTAACTCCAGAATGAAGGTTTGGTGTTGCTGGGAATAACCGAACCAACAGAACCCATAAAGGTGCAGAAAGACATCCGTCCGTTGCTCCGTTTAGGATCAACATTTCTTATTGGCATCAAATCTTCACCCAGAAGTCTTCTGACTGGGTTCTTTGTAAAGATTGATGTGTGTTGCCAAAGTGAGATACCAGAACCATGACTCATGGATCTAACAGCGGATCACAGACAAACCGGTTCTGTCACTTTGAGAAAACAAGACAAAGAATGTGTCTGTCGGGTTTCAGGGATTAAAGTTATTGTTTGTAAGTATTAAATTCTGTTTCACCTAAAGGATAAAACATGAATAGGGGACCGTCTCTTTTCCTGTAGAGCCGCGCGTGTGCATGTGTGTGTATGGTTTCACACTTCAAACCCATCTCCACTCCACCAGCTCCCGTTTTAATGATGGACATTAACAGCTCCCTTAGATCTTCAATTTTTACGCAGATAAATGCAGAACGGACCTCCCTATTCCTCCCTCACTGACTAATCCTCCACCTCCCACGCCTCACCCGCCCACCGCTGGGCCTTTAAGTGGTCACAACTGGATGGATGCACCTCTAAATTAAACGAGGCAGCAAGGATTCCCAAAGCTTAGTACCAAACCTCAAACCTCACCCGATGACGGAAGGAGCTCGGGTGACGGCAGGTCGACTGTTCAAACCCACCACAAACCTCAGAGAGAGTATCTCCACCTCCACGATGGGGGGTGGAATAAATATCTGTTTACAGAGGCAGAAACTGGAGATCTGACGCCCAGATCATGGTAATTGTTTCAAACTCAAGCAGAACCTCAGCAGGTTTGGTGAGGCTTATCTTTTTTAAAGAAAGTTGCTTTAAATCAGTATTTGCTTTAACACAAAGATGTATTACAGCATCACTGATACGGGTGCGTCTATCTCGCTGTCCTCTGATCTTCCAGTAAAAATTCATTTGATTTCTTGTTTTGTACACACTAAAAGGTTTAAAATGTAAAGCCCCTTTACCTGGATTAGAGCTTTGCTCGACCCCCTCCCTTAACTGTCCGCACCTCCCAGACATCAGCTAATAATTTAAAAATATATATTTCACATCCACTCAAGGACACAGGTCTTTGCTCTGCTCCGATCAGCCTCCTTGCAGCCAGATGTGGGAGGTTTTTAGTTTCAGGTGAAGTGTCGGACATGAAAACTATAAGAAGGAGATGATGGACAGGGTGGAGTGGATATGCACTGGGGTCAAAGGTCACAGGCTGGAAGAAGTTCCTAACAGAAGCTCATTCACGAGAGAAACCCAAAGCACCACAACCACAGCAGCGTTTGCTGCGCTGGTGCTGTGTGTGAGGCAGATGCAGTTTGCTTGTAAATAGTCGACTTCCCCCCTCCTTCCAACCTTCTCTCCCTCCCTAGAAGCTGGAAACCAGAGGCACTAGACTGACCGGATTCCTCGCTGATGGCACACTGGATACTTCATTTTCTTTCCACCTTAACAGCTCACACTGAAACTCCTCAAAGGAAATTGGGGCGGTGGTGTAAGGGGAGTAAATCAGATGCTACAGGTGCTCCAGGGGGCCCTCAGGTGCACCATGTTGTCTGTTTTAAGCGCAGCCCTGGGTCCAAGAGCCCCCTGATGGCCCATGAAAGCAAATTAACTCTAACAGAACAATCTGAAGCAGAGCCTCTTTGAAGACCTACTGGCTGATCTTGGTTCTCCTGCATGTGAACCCCAAGAAGTCAGTAAAACCCTCCAATGAAGCCATAAAGCCACCGTGAGCAGACCCTTCCGTCCTGCAAGCATCATACGGAATTACCGTAGAGTATCTGGAGTTAGAAAAGCCACCGGAAGCTGTGTTTGTAAATTTCTGACAGACGCAGTGGTTGTGCTGAGGACAGGCGGATCGATCCGGATCAATTGAACACGCGTAAAATACCCATCAGAAGGGATTACAGCCAGAAACAGAATCGCTTTTTAACGGATTTCCTCCGCCAACAAGTGCCTTTAAAAGCTGCTGCGAGCTTCAGAACCCAGTCCCCCGCCGGGTCCGGTTCTCTAATTAACGAACAAGTGCGCATTTAAGTGGAATTCAGCGGAAAACGCGCGCGCTTGGATCCTTCCCGTGCGTAATGCGCCTCTGAGGGACAGATGGGAGGATTTGGAAAGGTTTTAATGAATTGAGGATATGATTCAGATTCTGAAGAGAAGTTCCTACCTGGATCGGTACGGAGCCCCACGGTTCCACGGTTCTGAACGCTCCCGCCCGGGCTAAAGGCTCTGGTCCTCCTCGGTATCCAGACGGAGCCGCCTCCGAAGGGAAAAAAAATAAAAATAATAAAAATAAAAACTAGTAAAAATCCACCAGAACGATGTTTTAAAATAAAAAAAAATATATAATTAAAAACACTTAAAGAGGAATTAAACAATCCAGTCACGGTGGCAGTGGTCCCCTCAGTTCCCCACAATCTGAGTCCAGTTTTACAGTCGTGACCAGCGCACCACGTCCTCCAGAGGCGGCGGGAGTCCGGGAGAGGTTGGACCCGTCCGGACAGGGGCGGGTCACCCTCTGGTACTCCGTGGAAACGTTACCACCGGGCTGTTAGCCGCGGCAGCATCCTCCGCTGACGGCGCGCTGACTGATGGGTGGCGGAGCTGCTGGCTCTGGGCGCACCGGGACCAATGGAGAGGAGACAGACCCCCCCTCCCCTCCCCTCCCAAAAAAAAGTGTATAACCAGAAGGTCCGGTAGGAGTTAGATGCAGCGGTGCACGTCTGGTTCGTTTCCGCCCCGACGCCTCCCGGTCCGGCACGGAGCAGGTCACGCACTGCACCGAGTGTGACGAGAAAGTGGAGTGAATCGAAACGAGTGCGCTTCCCTCCCTCCCTCGCTCTCTCTCTTTCTCTCCCCCCTCCCTCACCCATACTCTCTGTACACTCCCCCACTGGGGGAGGAGGGGAAGAAGGCGGAGCGAGCATCCTCCCATCAACTTCATGGATTTCCCCAACATTTTCCTCTTTATTCTACAAGCATCTCATCTGCACCTTCCTGGAGGCGCTGCGCGCAAAAACTTTTATTATTTCTGTTAAACTTCACCGGCTCGCGTCTCTATCAGCTGACTGGACCGGTTAGGCGCGCGCACTCAGCTTCCACCGGCCGATCACCTGCTTCCTCCAGAGCCGCTGCGCTGCGCCTCCGGTCCGTTTGGGAGAGAGGAGGCGAACCGCCGTCCTCCGCGCTCCGAGCGCCACCTACAGACGGCGAGCAGCAGCAATTTTCTCCCCCTCTTCCTCCTGCTGCGGAGACAAACTAAAGGATGCGGAGTAAAAACATAATCTGGATATTCTGCCGAACCGAGCGGTGAAAAACAGGCTGCGGTCCAAAGCAGCTTTACTGAGTCCTGATATCAAAACACGTCCGGATTATGATCCAGGACGTGGTTCTGCAGCTGCTTACAGGGTTAATCCAGCTGCAGATTCATCCAGCTGTTTGCTTTATGACGACACTCATTTTATGTTTGCATCACTAAACAATAAGCTGCTGTGAAATGATCTTTATCCCCAAATATTACATCAGAACACTTGTCTGGTCTGAGTGAAGGCACAAAAATGAGACCTGGACAACAACAAAAATGAGGCAAGTTTCTGCTTCAAACATGAAGTTCTCCAAATCAGAACAAAAACTAACAAACAAAAACTTAAATAATGCATCTGAAAAATGATTTTAAATCTAAAGGAAAATCAGTTTTGTGTCAAATAAAGCTTTAAACCCAAGTCCTTGCGGCTTTGTAAATGATTCACGTCTTAAGTGATATTTTGAATGTTTTAAAAGTAGTAAAATCTTCAGACAAACACATCAAAGTATCGTTTGAGCTTATCTCGTCTGATTTTAGTAACCTTGTGTTTAAAAATACATGTAAGAGGGACTAGGACGGCAACCCAGCTAGCCACAGAACCCACAAGGACCGGACTGTTTGAGGGCACTGAATATTATTCCTTCAGAAGTCTCATAAATCAGGGTTCTCCAACCTCCAGGCATAGGATACATCTGTGGATCATTTGGTAATAAACAGCACAGAAAAGAATGAAAGGTTATTCAATATTAATATTTTGTATCAATGTTTTGATGTATGTTGGATTATTAAACAAATACTATAGTAATTCCTACGGGTGTGACATAAAATGTGTTTTTGTGTAATCACTTGGTTTATGTTATACACTTGGCTTTACTGTATTTTGATATGAGTGTGATCCCTCCCACTGATCCATGGAAATGTCTGGTATGGATGGAACTGGTCCAGGATGAAAAGACAAAAAAGGTCGCTAAACTCTAAAAATGAGACAATTACATTGAATTGATTAAAACAAGAATAAAATACAAAATATGAACAAAGTCTCAATCAAATGATAAAAAAAAGAAGTTGATGTTAAATAAAAGTTAAATGTTTCTTCACAACCACAAATGGTACGAAATCAGAACTGTAACAGATACACAAACACAGCAGAGATGCACTGATCGACTAGCCTGGCAAAATCATGTTAATAAATAGTCTGGCCACGACCCAAAGACAATATACTGTTGTCTTTCAAACTGTCTCCTCGTGCTATCGGTTAACAAATAACGTGACATACTCACTACAGATGTCAGTCAATGGGGTGGTCTGCCATACTCTGTTGAAGATGCAAATAAAAAAGATTTTGCTCTGCATGTTGGTCTAGCCATGCTCCATTAGAGCCTCAGCAGGCCCAAACAGTCTTGTGTATTGCCAATCACAGTGCTCTATCAGTTTAGTGGGCCAATCACAGCTCTCTATAAGTTTGGTAGGTCAATCACAGCGCTCTATCAGTTTCTATCAGTCAGATTTTTCTATTTTAAAATTTGAATTCTATTTGTGATTGATTAAAAGTCTCATTTATACAAATAATAAAGATGAGTACTGAGTCAATTACTGGCCTTAGACTAAAGTCTGACTGTCATCATCACCATCATCACTTAAACAGGAAGTTCACATTGGTAACAGAAAAGGCACCAAACAGACTCCAGATCAGAGACAAAATTACTGAAGAAATAAAAACATCACGACCAAAAGGAAATTATGCAAAACACAAACAAGGCCTTGGTCAGCTGTTGTAAAAGCATCTTGTTTGTTTCCCTCCTGAAGACACATTTTCAGACGTGGGTCTCCTGAGGAGTTGAGACCTTGCTGGTCACCTTCGTTGGCCAGCATCCTTCTCAGATATTAACTCTGCAGCCGCAGCGGACCCTCCTGATCAGCTGTAATATGACATCAATATTCTGAGGGAGCCCTCTGCTGCTCCCTGCTGCTCTCTGGTTAATCACACTTAAAGAGTTAGCTGCAGTAAAAAGTTCCTTTTGTTCAGCTGCAGATGTCATAATCGGGCATCATTAGACAGCTGCCGTCTGTCACAACCAGACAGAACAAAGTATCCAAACTAAGCGTTGGTGGAACTGAGGTTAAAAATATTCAGATAGTTTAATTTTTTGAGAAAACTCACCGTTTGCTTTCGTGGTCTTCGATATTTAATAAAATGCTTCTTTGGTTAAATATTAATTTTGTGTCAATCTGAAAAAAAGATCCAGAACAGTTGTCAGATGAACGTGTTTCACATTGTTTTAACATTTTGATTTCAACTAGGGCTTAACTGCAAATTTTATAAAAAATACATTAAAAAAATTTCTTTATGAAGATACATTGAATTTAACCCCCCCCCCCCCCCCCACCCCCACCCCCAGTCAGGCACTTTACAACATAACAACCATTGATGACTATCTAAAAATAGGATGAGAGGCAGATCTTTTAGCTATCAGGATCTTTTCCTCGGGAACCAGCTCCCAGCTTTAGTCTGTGAGGCAAACACCTTGTCTACTTTTAAGACTACGCCTAAACCATTTTTATTGATAGGGCCTATGGTTGAAATCCGATATCCAGATCTGGACAAGTGGGGGAGTGGAGGGAGGTGGAGAATACAGTCGGTCCTCTCCCTTGCCCTGCCTCCAACATGCCTCCATCTAAAAAGGCTAGGTTATCCAGAGTTATCTCTGTAGTTATGCTGCTATAGGCTTAGACTGCTGGAGGACATACTGACCACTTTCCACACTCTACTACTTTCTTCTAAAATTTCTCTGTTAATTGCTTTATTTCCTGCTACTACAGCTGTTAACTTTATGTGACGTGCCTTGAGATGACTCTTGTCATGATGTGGTGCTATATAAATAAACTTGAATTGAAATGATGAACATCAATCAAAGTCAATATTAAAATTATTCATCCATTAATGGCCAGTAATCACAGCAGGGTTTTTAAATCGTCAGAAGGTTTTCAAAACTTGAGTGACCGTAAATGTTGTGATAAAAAAAATCATGGATATAGCAGTTAAGGTCCTACAGTGTGTGGTGTTCCTCAACACGGCAAAAAGTACACATGAACCAATTTCACTCATGGACATTCCCCAGTCAAATCTTGTGAGATCACAAGTTTCTTCAGAGCAATCACACATGGCAGAGCAACGTACTTCCATCACCTTGTTTATGACTGACTAGACATAACATTCAACAGGCAAGCCCATTACCGTAATTTCCGGACTATAGAGTGCACCTCAATATAAGCCACACCGGGCTAAAAGCCGCAGATATCTACTAAATTGAAAACGTAGTTTAACTGAACGTAACTGAACTGATCAGTATCAAACAAAACAGAAAAGTTATTGATTAGTTTGTTCATCGTCCTCCTGCGCACTGAAACCACTTCAGTGTCGGAGTTGAACAGCCTCAGAAGAGCTTTGTCACATACCTGTTCTGTGGAGATGTCAGTGTTGCTGTCATCATCCCGGGGTTATGCTGGGAAAACAAACAGTGCCATTTTACTGTGAAAAAATCCTCCTGGGCGCTTTCCGTAGCACTCCTTTAACCATTCCTTCATTAGACTTTCTAGCATCCATCCTTTCTGGTTGACTAAAGCCGCATCTCATTATAAGCCGCATGGTTCAAAGCGTGGGGAAAAAGTAGCGGCTTGTAGTCTGGAAAATACGGTAATTTGTCCTCAAAAATTGGACCAAGACAATCTAACATGTTTGAAAGCTGATTGGTAATCCTGGCGGTCCTCACATACTTCTGAGCAGAACAGAGTGCTCTCAGAGGGATGTATTATGCAAAAAGCATATTTTTGCATCCTTTTGTGCTGTACGGTTCACTGCCTCCATAATTACTTATGTGAAAAAACTTTTTCTGTCAGTGTTTGTTTTCAGGAATTAAATGCCTACAAGGAGCTGTTTCAAAAATTCTGTCACCTGTCAACGCTAGAGGAGCAGTAGCTCTGCTCTGAACCCCTCCTGGATTTCGGAGCTTCTCAGCTTATAACAGCTTGAGCAGGGATGGGTGGGTGTGGCCAGCTTCAGCTTGTTTCCTTAAAGTGACAGGGCCCTGAAACAGCTCATTCTGGAAGGTACTGAAACTGTCATGAATAAAACTGTTGAAATAGCTTCATGTGAGAGGAAGTTAGTGAAAATAACTGTATTGGTTAAAGACCATAGGATTACTATAACAATGACAAAATATGTCAAGATAAAAAATGAAACAACCACAAGCTCAAACACAAAAAAACTGACAACTCATTTAATTTTAAGAAATTACATAATCTGAGTAATTTTGGATTCTGATTTAATTTTCTCAGTAAAAACCAACAGCAGGTTACTTTTAAGTTGATGTAAATCAGAGGTGTCCAAACTTTTAAAGATGAGGGCCAGAATCTTTACATTTTTACTCCTTGCAGGGCAACAAAATAATAGTTTTGTTAAATAAAAAAAAGTTATTTGTACCATTCAAAATAAGCCCAAAATATGCACATTATTAATCA